TTTCCCAGACAGGCCCTGTGCTCAGCCCCTGCCAGAGGACCCGCTCCCGCATCTCTCACTCACTTATGAGATTATCAGAAACACCTCCTTTGTGTTGCTTCCTATCCTGCCCTACGCACTTCCAAAGGGCTCCACAAAAGCATCTGCAATGTAACCTATTACTCCCCCTTCAAAGATTTTAATAATCTCCTCTTCTACAACACCTACAAACCTTGACAAGGGGTATCTAATATTAGATTGCTGATGTGTTGAGGACACTGCTATCAAGATGACCGGTCATACCTCATTGTTTCCCCTGGCTTCCTGTCTCTCTCTCTGTCTGGTCTACCTCCCTCCACTTAGCCTGTAAGCATTCTGAGACAGAAAGCTTCTTTGGTCTGTATTTATATATCATCTAGCAAAATGGGACGAGGCTTTGCAAACAGGACTGCTGGTGCTACAGAAAATAAAAGGTAACCACACTAACACAAAATATAGTTGGCTTTGCTAATGCTTTGAAATGAACTCCAGAAGAAAGTTCAGTGATGACTTGCTTCTCCCTGGTGGAAACATTTTGCATAGGGATGATTTTAAATGTACAAACATTGCTATTTTATTTTCAGATTAATAAAAACCAAAATCAAAAATTCACACCAATAAAGTAATTTATTCTCTGCCCAAATATAACCGATATTTTTTGGTGGCAGAGTTCTATAAGGCTACAAAGAGAAAAATAATAAATGAAAGACAACGCAGAGACCACATCCATTCATTCTAAGCCCTGAGTCATCTGAACACAACTTATTTATTAAGGCTGGCAGGAAAATTTTCTCTAAAGTTGTTTTTCATGGGAAATGTGGTGTTCAGCAAAACAACACCTTTCACAAAAAGAATATTTCAGGCTTTCATCAAAAAACAGTTTTTGTTTTGTTTCTGTTTCACGGAAAACGGGGGTGAAAACGGAGGGAAGCAGACTGAGGAAAAAATCTAAGCAAATCTACTAGAACGCCCTCAAACTAGTTATCTGAGTGAAGCCATAGAATAATTTGTTATTCCTGCATTGAAAGCCTTTTTTCTCTGTTTCTTGGCTCATTGTCAGAACGGACAAAACAGACTGAAGGAGCACGTTCCAGAAAACGGTGGGAGTTGGAGAAACTGCACGTACAGTCATCCAGGGTAGCTGCACTCTATGTATACGTGTAAATCCAACTAGAGCAATCTGCCTCTCTGCTTTGCAGAATAGCTCAGAATAGGAAGATGCAAAGACAGCAGGGAGAGAAGGAAAAGTAAGCTGTTGCAGCTTAGGGAGCAGGACTGTCATTCATCCCAAAAGAAACTTCTCTGTTATCTGGAAACAACAGTGGGGATATCTCATTGGCGGTCAGCTCTTGCTAGCAAAGGCAAACCCAAAGCATGTGTGCATGTCACCTTTTACTTTACTTCACAGAGAGTTTTTTGGAAATCTGTCCAACAAAGGATCTGATCCTTTACTACTTTATTTCAGTTTGACATTGATGTATTTCTGCTAGGGTCAATGATGTATCCAGCACTGAAGTAAGGTGGTGATTACACAGTCCCATCATTTCATTGTTAGTATTATCCTCCTTCTGTGAAGCTGAATGTTAGTCTTCAGATAGCACCTCTTCCTAATTCCAGGCTGGTAGAGTTTGGTTTACAAGGCGTTGTGCAGGAAAAGGTGTGAAGCACACAACTTGAACATACACTTTCAGATTCTCTTCTCTTTGTCCATCTGGACTCTTCAGTTGTACCCATACCCATGCTAATCGAGCTCGTAATTAACCTTCAAATATCCCCGTAGTTTAACTTGCAAAAATTACATGCCCAGACATGACAGCCGATCCCTTGCCAAGAAAGTCTGGAATTTTAAATAAATCATTGTCATCAATTTTGTAGTGAAAAGCAGAATTCATGAAATTTCCTGTGGAAGTGAAAATCTAAAATGGCAACTCTTTGGTGGCAAGCTTTTTCTAGAGAGTTTTGAAATTAAATTTACCCTCCAAGTCTATGCTTTGAAGGTCCTGGCTTCTGATCCTGCAGCTCCTGGATACCCATGTACCCTGGCAAACTGACAGGGAGCTCAGAAGCTGCAGCTCAGCCAGTAACATAAAGCTTCTGTCCTGGGGCTCCCAGCTCCATAGCAAAAACTTTTACTTCTAGGAAGCACAGGGAAGCCTGTGCTAGGATAGTCAGTATGTGAGCGTCCCCAGAGATCTCAGAAAGGCAGATTTCTTAGCGGCTGCCAGCCTTTCAGTACTGACAAACAAATAAGACTTTCCAATACAAAACTGTCATGTTAAAAAATGCCAGGCCCCTTCAAATCCAAAATTAACCAGATTTTTATCACAATGGGATTATTGGTAAAGTGTTATTTCCATCCAAACTAGTGAAAATCCAAGTCACCGAAATTAAGGTTTAGCTCTCCTGAACCCTCTTCCTCCACACTGTCCCACATTTTATACATTTAAACTCTTATAGAAAGCATTATATGAAAAAAAATGCTAGGAAAATTTGCACAGCTTTTTGCATAGCCATATCAAAACACATGCCCACCAAACCAAGCAGAACCTATGCAAATAACAATAACAAAAAAATAAAAAATAAAAACAAGCAAACTGAAAATTCCATTGCTTCATCTGAAATTTTCCCAGTCTGACAGATAAATTACTTTTTTATCCTGCAGTCACCCACTTACTATGCCTCACACCTATCTCTGACATATTAAAATGTAAATTATGCTACAGAGGTAAACTGATGGGAACAGTTTGATGAAACTATATGAGCTTTAGGTCATAATTATAGGGTGATGCCTAGAAGAAACAGAAGAGGAGAGAAATGGAACTGAATTCCTGAAGCTGCAGGCTATACATATTTTTGCTAATAGAAATGTGGAAAAAAAGAATTTTCTCTATTTTGATTGCATGAATCAACCTAATTTGGTTCTCCTACTTTGGAGAAGCATGTGTTAAAACATTTTTTAAAAACCTCCTAGCTCTCTCTCACACACTCTGATAACTACTGGATGGTAAATCTATATCGAAAAGAAATATCTTCCTGACAAAGAATGATGATTAAGATCCAAACTCCTTCCCAACGCTTCCACCTCAAGTTATCAGCATCGAGTTACAACGGGGGTGAATTTGGCAGCACACAAGATGAACGCAGACTCCATTCCTTGCTTGAGTTAAAGTGAAGGTTGCAAAACTGGCCCTAGGCATACACAAACTGGGAAACTGCCTCCAGCAGCACAGGCCAACTTCAGTAACACCAGAACCAGGCAAATTCCTGCCCGCTGCTGCCTCCCCAAAGGGAGCAATGATGGTGCGAGGGGTGGTATGTCCTCCCTGCAGCAACAGGCACTGACCCCCATACTCATCGTTACTTTGGCACAGGCAAAATTGCCCTTTAGGGCTCCCCCTGCACTTCTCTCTTACAGCTGACTTAGCCCCTTCCCATTGCAGAAGTGGGCTGGCTTTGACCTAGCTCCCAGCTGTAGCTCTTCATCTGCCGGGCTGCAAAATTGCAATTTTACTTACATAGCTGGAAAGCCTGGAGCCTGCTCTGATATGTGGTGTTGATGGAGAAGCAAATCATAGCTCTGTTTGGGTATATGGCAAAACTGCTGCCCAAGCCCTATCCACTGGAAACACATAATCAGAGGAGCAGAAGAGGTTCAGGTCACACTTGAGTTCCTTGTTTTCATAAATACATCCTTCATTATTACTCAATGGAATACTTTTTTTCAGATAGAGCCAATCTCAAGCACAAAAATGTAAGAATCTTTAGAGAACAGCTTCTACTGTAAATATTTGCCATAGCAGATGCTTAAAACAACTAACAGGTACAAGCTTACTCCTGCTCCCACTGAAGTCAGTGTGCGCATCACTACTAACTTTTGTAAAACCATGACAGATTTGTACTTTTCTTCCCACCTACCAATTCAGAGGAAAGGAAGGGAGCCCTGTGTGGAAAGGAGTTAAAAGAACTGGAGCTGTGCAATTTCCCAAAGTGAGTAGCCAAAATCAGCAACGGAAATAAGGAAGCACATCCTGTGCTCAGTGCTCCTAGATAATACAGTGTGATTTCTCTCCTAAACAGAAGGATTTTCAACACATTCATTGTCTCTGCTTAGTGTTCAACGAATATGGAAAAGCGGAGCACACAGAGGCTTGCATAAGAAACTACCTTGATTAAAGCAAACTACTGTCTTCAGTAAGTGCCTGCATGTATTCCCAGATGTAATGTGCCAGGGTCTCCAGTTGTGACAGGGAGAAAGCAAGGGCTTAATCCCCACTCAGGCAAACAGTAAAGCAACAACAAACTATACAGCCACCTTCTCCACTGCCTCAACCATTTTCCCTCATAAGTAAGTACCTAAGCAGCATTTTAGATACATACCTAACTAGTATTTCAAGAGGGTATGATCATGGAGAACGGGAGGAAATAACATCACTGAAGGAAAAAATGAGCAATTCATCATTATCAGCGTAGGCTTTATTCAGGTACACAGTCAAGCCTTGTCATGTCTGTACTGGAAGAAAGCTCGGACACATGAGCCAGAAGCAAATTACAGTGCGTCCAGCCAAGTTACCAGTTCGGACAGCGAGGGGATCAGGAACTCGGAGTATGTCACAACAAGCACCTGCTACACGGTTTAAATTCAGTCACAGAGACTAATCTGTTCCAGAAACCCTAGCAGAATGGATATTATAAACACCTAGTAGCACTGTGTTCCTAAAGCAGGTGCATTTAGCGTAGAGCGCGAAAGGTCTTACGGCTGCACAATTGGGTCTGTCTGTGTTAAAGTCCACTGCAACTTTATTCGCATTTCACTTGCATTAAGTAAGTAATTTTGTCAACCTTTTGAATGCGTGCTCAGGGACAAATTTCAGCAAAGCCAACAAAGAAAGCACAACGGTCTTCCAATTTCCTTAATGTTTTCACACAGAAAAAAATCTCCTCCCAAAGAAAAAAAGCATTTTAGTGATACTCGCAAGGCCTACCTTGCCCACACCGGGGGTGTCCTTCACCTTGCTGACTGCCCTCAACAAACATGGTGGTGCAGGGGGTGGGGAGGTCTGAAGGATACTGCCGAAGCTGGTGGAGAAGAGAGGAGACTCAGGAACAGATGATGCAGAAGGCCTATGCTTCTTCTTTTTGGAAGACAGGTTTAATTTCTGAGCAGCTCTGCAGGAAAAATGAAAAAAAAATGACATGTAGGAAAAATGACAAAAAATCCTCCAAACTTAACACTAGAAGCAGTCAAGAATAAAAAATGTATTTATCAGGTTGCCATTCAGGTAGGACCTCCATTTTGCCCTCACTGACCCCAAAAGTTTTATAATTCTGGTTCTCTGCTCATTATTACTGGTTTAACCCTACTGACTTCACAGAGTTTCTCCAAATTTACTGTCTGCATTAAGCAGGGTCAGAATCAGGCCTCTGCCACTATCTATTGAAACGATTCAGACTGCAAGAAAGCACCATCATCTGCAATTAAATTAATGAGCTATACAGCAATTTATGCTATAAAATTAAGTTCAGTCACTGAATGGTTCACAAAGAATTGTTTGTTATTCATAAGCCTGTGATTAGAAAATGAATACTTGTGCAATGTTTGGAAGTAAGCAGCCACTGTTATGGTAATTAGTATTCAATGCTCAGGTGAATCTGCTGAGCTGTGAGCAGCCTTGCTCCAGGTACTTTAAAATTTTATCACCTCTAAAATACAAGCTAGTTTAAAAGACAAACAAATGGTGACCAGTGGAAAATTTGCTGCATGCAGTGAGATGGAGACAGTCGCACCAACTACAGCTGTATTAACCACTAAGCATGGAAGATAAATTAAGACTTAGTTTTATTAACACAATACACTTGCATAAGAATGCTGAAGTGTGTATGGACACCAAACAAAAAGCCAAATATTTCTGGAAAAGAACTGTTCAGTACTTTTGTTTTGCAATTTTTTTTTTTTTGAGGGGAGAGAGAGACAATTCAACATTCAGTCTTTGTTGTAGCTGTTTTCTTCTAACACACATGCACGCTCCACGTTGCCCAGTGATAATGTTGATATCAATCACGCTGTCCCAGAGTTTTCCCTTTTGTAAAATGGGTGCTTTAAATAGAGCCAGATCAACTGGGTAAAGTAGCATCTCCTTTCAAGTTGTTTGTTTGGCAGATAAACTGTGACTTAAGATCACTATAAAAGCAGTCTACGTTGGCAGTAGCTCTCCTTACCTTGCTGCAGAGTGACAGGCAAGACCAACAAGTCTAAATCCTTCTAAGTTGCATAAAACTGTAGCTCTATTGCACTGCTATCAATGCGTATTACCCAACTCTGCACTTACAAAAGTGATCAAATTAATTTAACTGAAAGAGTTAGAGAAAAAAGACTGACTAAAAAAGCTTTTATATAGATATGCACTCACTTCAATATGTATGTATCTTGTGTTTGTATCAGATGTTTCAGACACATGAACATGTTACCACTAGACATGAAGTCGCAGTATGTCAGCTGATTGTGGGTGCACTGTGTGCATCGCCAATGTGTATAGTTTTAGCCTATGGTAAATGGAAAATAGTTCCAGACAGGCTGATATACAGGTTGACAGTTTTTAATAAAAGAAAAACACTAAGACATTTTAATTGACCTGACATAGAATTACAGTTCAGAAGTTTCTGTACCACCTCATTGTTCTTGTTCTTCCCCTTCTCTCTGGCCTACAAACTGCAGTTCATAGCCCAGCCCTCTGTTTTAAGATGCTCTGCATTTTTTCCTTTGAAAATATAAGCAAAATGTGTTGGCCCAAACACAAAGCGCAAAAAGCACCATTTTCTTCTTTTCCTAGCAATTTCAATGGCTTGAAAGGGTTTAGCGATTTCAGCCTTCATGCTGTCCATCACTAATGCTTTGATAAAGTTGTCCTCTCTGAGTCAAGGTTTTCAGTATGCTCTAGCTGCACTATAACATTATTTTAAGTAAAATCGTGTACTGTGTGTAACAACTGAAAATACAAATGTTCGCCAAATACACTCCAAAACATACTACTGTGTTTATATAGTCAAACTCTGTAGTCCATTCTAAAATGTAAGTAGTGGCTCCACCCACTTAGGTCTTACATATTGTCTTATTAACCCACCTTGGGTGAAAATACATCTCCTACAAAACATTTTCTAAGTTGACTGAGCCATTACCTGTCTTGTCACTACACGCTTTCCCAACATTATGCTGTTCTTGTTTCTAAGCTGATAGTATAACACAAACCACCTCTTGAACCAACCAAGTCCACAGCTGACATTTTTCTTAAAGAAAAAACGTTGTTGGAGGATATATGGCCTTTTCAAAACCTTGGAACTATATTCTAGTTTGACAGTTATAACCTTTGAGATAGCATTCAAATAGAAGAACCTGAATTTTATTTTATATTTTGAGCCTGCAATTGGCAAATATATATATAAAAAAAAATGATCCACATCTCACAGCTTCATGAGGTTTTCTGTTTTTCCCCAAGGACAGAAAATCGATGAGTGGAGGGCTAGAAAACCATTTATGAACCCTATCATACTTCACTGAATTTCAAAGGGGATCAAAAAGGCTGTAGCCTCAAGTAATTCCCAGAGCATTTGATTGAGAAGAGGAAGATATTTTAACTAGCTGCAGGCTGTACACAAACCTGTACAGTGTGGCTTTTTGTGAGCACATTTGCATGAGTTTAATATCACTCAGCCTGGGTAGCTAGCATTGCTCTGAACAGAGTTGGTCATGCCAGTTGAAACTTGTTTGGCTACATGATCTTAGCACAGGAAGTTAGAAATTCTCACATTTGACTTTTCCAGGCAAGTTAGGGGTCGGCATTCAAGGGCTCTTCCGTGCGGTCTCTCTAGACAACCTGACTGCCCAGGCAGGACCTCGGGAGACGTGAGTATTGCTCCAGCTCGCCGCCTACCCAGCTCAGCCAGCATCTTCTTAGACTGTGCTCTTTGTACAGGAGAAGCTAATTAGTTTTGGTTTAATATCTAGTATAATAGGACTCTGATTTCCACTTCAGACTAGGCATACGTCTGTGGTAACCCTAATGCGATGACGGCAGCATGGTTTTATGCATTGGCAAGAAGTTGATCACTCTTAAGAGTTACATTGTGTCAGTCTTAAGCCAAGTAATGGCAGTTAAAAACTGCCAAGGGCGCAAGGGGCTCCCATTCGATGCAAACGAAGTCTGGGCTGCGTGGAGCGCAGCTGCGGTAGGGATTGTCTCCACAGAGGCACACAGGAAACTTGAGCCAAATCCAACTTTTGAAGTGGGTAATTTGCACTGTGTTATGCCTCTGTGTGGACACACTCCTTCACAGCTAAAGCACCTTTGATTTGATTTATGTGAATTCACATCCAGATTTAATGCAGTTTACCTAGTACACTTTGGATTCACACCTTTAGTTAATTTGGATTATTTTTCCTGAGAGTCCCTATGTAAACAAGCTGCTAGAGACATTGTGAAAGCTTAAAAGATTTGTGGCAGAGGAAATAATTGCAGGATCAAGGTTTGAGATTGCAGAAAGGGTGTTAGAAAGCTGATTACAGCTCAATCCAAATAAAACAGATGGATTGCTGGCAGGAAAGGGGAAATGCTCTGAATACCCAGCTGACCTGTAGCTAAGACTCGGTTCATTACTTGAGGGGACATGTTTTGGGGTTTTGCTCTTTAAAACAGAAGTTTAGTAAGGTGCATTGCTGGGCAGTCAGAATGCTTTGCACCTCCTACCTATTCAGAAATGAACAGATTTTGTTCTCTTAAAACTCCATGGACAGCCTAGGATTTCCAAAAAACTCAGTGCAGAGCTAACTTTGCTCCAGTGGAAGCCAATTCATGATTGATATGAACTTTCCGAAAGCCTAAGATCCTCCGCAGAATTTACTGAAGAAATGAAAGTAAATCAGCTTACGAGGTAATTCTGACAAGTTAGCGAATAAACTACACTTTTCTGAAACTTATCTGGGGAGATGAATGAACAGGAATGGATTAAATAATCCATTTTTAACACAGAACAAAGTAAGTGCTAGGGTGACCCAATGATCCCTATTAAGAAAGCTAATCATATTAGTTATAAGCAACCCATGAATGAACCATGGAAGCTGACAAAACTCTTTAGACAAAAAAAAAGGCATTATAGAAACCTGTAGAAATTATCTAACTCAATAACTCGGTAAGCAATTAAAGTACAACGACACATACAAGCAAACACAGTGGAAGGCACAGTTTGAACTTTCATGGCTTCTAAATTAACTTTAGCTGCTCACAGAGAGCAACTTCAGAAACTCTGAGGACAGCTCCATAACAAGCAGGCCCGCTTGCTGTTTAGCAATAGTCAGGGAAAAGAAAAAAAAAATAGTTGCCGTACACCAATTAAAGAAAAGACCAATAAAGCCTCCCCGTAATACGTAACAGTCACGTATCTCTAGCTTGAACAGAGTGGACTGGGACCTCATTTGGTGTAAATCATTGTAAGATCATGAACTTCAGGAGGCCTAGCTATGCCAGCTCATAGTGTATTTACTTACTCTCATTTAAGTAAGAAAACAGGGGCTGCTACTAAAATTCAAGGGTCACCTATTTAGGCTGCTAAAAAATATATATATTTTTTGACATGTCATCCAAGGCTTAATTAAAGCTTTGGGACTCACTGACAAAGTAGAGATCAGTAAGATCAGCAGGTTTGTTAGGTTCAAGAGATTAGACATTCATGTGAATAATAAAAATATCATTCACACTTGTGGTAGCAAAGATCACCGCTGATAAGAGACATTGACTCTTAATGAGTACATGATACAGCCCCTCACCACTGACATCTGGAAGAAATTTCCTTAGGTGCATATATTTGTACAACTATTCATTATTGGAGTTTTATATATTATACTCTGATGCATCCAGTACTTGTCACCCTTGGAAACAGAACTCCAGATTACAGGGGCCATTGAGCTGATACACCAGTTTTTCTGTCAAAATAAAAACTGAGAATATGCTCACTTTCAAATTTTATTTTCCACTGAGAAAATTGCTCTCAAGCTGTGGAGGCTAAACTGTCACGCACTAGCTAACTTTAATTTCTGTTTTTGCAATGTTCATTAAAACTACATATCTATTTGATATCTAATAATTACATTAGTATCTATTCTCTTTATTTGGAAGAAT